TAGATAAGAAATAATCAGCTAGAAATTATAGAAAATATAATTGGAGCCCTGGCTGGCATAGCTCAGTGGATTGAGCGCAGGCTGCGAACCAGGCATCGCAGGTTCGATTCCCAGTCAGGGCACATGCCTAGGTTGCAGGCCATGACCCCCAGCAACTGCACATTGATGTCTCTCTCTCCCTCTCTCTCTCTCTCTCTCTCTCCTTCCCTTCCCTCTCTAAAAGTAAATAAATAAAATCTTTTTAAAAAAATCTATATATATATAATTGGAAATATCCCAATAATAAAAGGGAAAAAAAGACTTAAGAAACCATCTTACTAGAAATTTTAGCAGGAATTATTATGAAGACAACCATGAACCTTCATTAAGAGAAGTAACAGAAAACCTTGTATAAATAAAGACAAATACCATATTCTTGAAAGGAAAAATACAACATTATAAGAATGTCAATTATTTTCAAATTGATCTCTAGGTTTGTTGTAATTCTAATAACAGCACTAATAAGTTTTCTTTTTGGAATTTCAAATATGCATCTGGAAGAGTAAACCAATAAGAATGGATAAGAAAAGTGTGAAAATAAAGAATAATGGGTGGTAACTTACTTTGCCACATACTGAAGCATTTAATAAAGCAAAAATAATTCCAGTAGTTTAGTACTGATGACAGAACTGGGTGAGAAATCAAAGAAACAAGCAAACAAAAAAGACATCTCCACAAACATACTGGAGTACATGTAAGAATTTAGCACATGCCCTGGCTGGTGTGGCTCAGTGGATTGAGCGCTGGCCTGTGAACCAAAGGGCTGCCAATTGGACTCCCAGTCAGAGCACATGCCTGGGTTGCAGGCCAGGGCCCCCAGTAGGGGGCGCATGAGGCAACCACACATTGATGTTCCCCTCCCTTCCCCTCTGTCTATAAATAAATAAACAAAATATTTTTAAAAAATAATTTAGCACATGATCAAGATTGCATCATAATTCAATATGGAAAGAAAGATTTAATAAACGGTGTTTGGATATCTATTGGGGAAAAATAATATGACTCTTCACCTCGTGTTAAATACCAGATACACATGAGACGGCTTACAGGAGAGAAGCTCAACTTCCTGAAACCTCAACAGGACAGACGACAATATAAGCAGACTCCTTACAAAATAAAGGAGCTAAACATTCAACTCAAGAAGTTGGAATAAAAAGGAACAGAGCAAGCCCAAAGAAAGAATAAGGAAAGAATTAACAAGATAAGGCAGAAATCAATGAGTTAGAGAATAAAAAGAAAACACTGAGAAATTTAACAAAGACAAAAGATGAGTAAGATCTCCGGCACACCTGACCACCGAAAGAGGAACAGGCAGGAGAGATGACCAAGGGAGGAAGGGGGTGAAGGAGAAAATGGAAGTAAACAAAAACGATTTCACAATAAGAAAGAAAAGTCAATTACAGAAGTAACAATTAAAATAAGAGTGTTATGAACCACAATATACTAATGGAAATGAAAACCTACATAAAATGCATAGATCCCTTGAAAACTAAAAAATGTCAAAACAGCTACCAGAAAAAATAGAAAATTTCTATATAAACTGTTAGGTAGTAAATTGAAACAGTAGTTGAAAGACTTCCCCTCGCAGGTGCTTTTCCAGGTCTGCACTGAAGAGAGCCGCACGAAACTGATGGAAACACAAAAGCACCCGGCCCTCTTCTAGGCAGAGGTTGCCTACCGCACAGCCCTCCTAGTGTTAAGTGTGAGCTGGGAGAAAGAAGTGCTTCCACCTCTGCTAAACCGGAAAGCACGAACTGAAAGCCGTAGGTCTGGACTGGCCAGAGTACTGCCCGCAGAGCACGTGAGGGGAGGTCACCAGGCACGGCAGCAGCACCGACCACCCCAAGCATTTCCACATGCCTTTGAGATGCTCAAGGCTTGGTAGAGCTGGGAGGAACAAGGGGTGTTCTGTTCAGTCCCTGCTGGGGATTTACCGAGAGATTCTATGGCCTAGGGCTGTTAAAGTCACTCTGCTGCCCCCAAGGGCCCGACGACCCCGCCACTGCTGATGGGACAGGGCAGTACCCAAGCTCCACACCCAGAGAACACAGCTTCGCAGGCGCCCACCGGCAGCATTTCTCTCAACAAATACGTTGTGAGCTTCTAGCGTGTTCCAGGACCTACATTTGCTCCAGATACAAACGCCCCCAAAAAAAGTTCACAAAAGAGAGTTTTCCCAGTGACCTACCTCCATAACATGGGAAAGGAGCACTTTGTCCTGAATTAGGAAGTAAGAGATGCAGCCAAAACTCAACACTGGACCAGCTAAGCACACACTTTGGCCAGGCAGGGTGACAGGCTTCCACGAGCTGAACTGGCAAAGGCATTAGAAAGAAGACAGGTCTCGGGGGTGGCCAGACACGTTGGCACTGACATTGAAAGGAAAAGCATAAAAGACACAGGAGCTGGAGGCTAGGGAGCAGTCACTAATAAGCCAAACAGCGTGATGGCCTCTGAATCGGCGGAGGTGCAGAAGGGTTTTGTCCTGCCCACCAAAGGATCCCCTCCCACCCCCATCCCCATAGCTACCATGACACAGAAAGAAGTTTTATTCCCATAGGATAACATTTGAAGGTTTATAATTCAATAGTAAAATAGACAAAAGGGCTTCACCTTCCTAAAGCACCTACAACAAGGTACTTTGGGAAATTCAATGATCTATGCATAGCAGGTGGCAGAAGAGAACAAAATATTGAATCTAGAGTTTAAACCCGGCCCCATTACTTATTAGATGTGTGACCTTGAACAACGTACATTTTTCAGTCTCACTGAGGTAAAGTGTAACATCCATGGTGACAGTGAGACTCCAGTGATGGCCACCCACAGTTTCTTCTCCCCCAGACGTTCGTTTTGCTCCAGCCGTAAAGAGGTGTGGTCTTTCCTCCCCTTGAGTCTGGACTGGCCCTGTGGTTTGCTTTAACCAATACATGAGGCAGAAGTGACCCATACAAATTCCCAGGCTGGGCTGTAAGAGACCTGAAACTTCAGCTTTTGTGTGCTTGCAACGCCCCCTCTGTCCTGCTATGAGAAATGTAAGCCATGTGGAGAGCTGCTTGGAGAGAACCATGGCACACCAGCTGACGGCCCCCAGCTGAACTCTCCCCTGACGGCCAGCCGTGTGTGTGAGCCATGGTGGACATTTCAGCCCAGCAGAGCCCCAGATGGTGGCAGCCCCAAGTAACAACACAAGAAGCAGAAGAACTGTCCCGCTGAGTCAAGTCCAGGTTCATTAAAAACAAAGTCTCACCAAACACAAAAATCAATTAGTGAAATCCATCACATCAAGAAGCTAAGAAAGAAAAATCATATGATCATATCAATAGATGCATAAGAACCAGTTGACAAAATCAAACACTCATTTATGATTAAAAATCTCAGCAAATTAGAAATAGAGGGGAACTTCCTCAACTGGATAAAGAACATCCATGAAAACCTACAGCTAACATTATACCTCATAAGGAGAAACTAGACGACTTCTCCCAAAGGTTGGGAAAAAGGAAAGGATGCCCCCCTCACCACTCCTTTTCAATCTCATGCTGCAAGTCCTAGCTAATGCAACGAGACAAGAAAATGATGAAGTGTGCACAGAATGGAAAGGAAGAAATAAAACTGTCTTTGAATGCAGATAACATGGTTATCTATGAAGAAAATCCAAAGAACTGAGGAAAAAAACTCCTGGAACTAATAAGAAATTAGAGCACGGTTGTATGAATCAATTGCTTTCCTATGTCTCAGCAATGGTCAAGTGGAATTTGAAATTAAAAACAGTAACATTTACATTAGCAGCCCCCCAAATGAAATACTTAGATATAAATCTAAGTAATATGTACAAGTTATAGGTGAGAAAAACTAGAAACCTCTGATGAAAGAAATCAAAGAACTATCATTAAGATGTCAGTTCTCCCTATAGATTCACGGATCTACAGATTCAGTGCAATCCCAATCGAAATCTCAGCAAGGTATCTTGTGGATATCAACAGATGTTAAAGTTTATATGAAAAGGCAAAAAATCCAGAATAGCCAATGCAATGCTGAAGGAGAAAAACAAAGCCAGCAGACTAACCCCACCCAACTTCGAGACTTCATATAAAGCCTCAGTACTCCAGAGAGTGTGGTACTGGTGAAAAAAAAATGAAAAACAGATCCATGGGACATGGCAGAGGTCCCAGAAATAGACCCACATAAATGCAATCAACTAATCTTTGACAAAGGAGCAAAGGCAATACAATAGAGTTCAACAGTCTTTTCAACAAATGGTGCTGGAACAACTGGACATCCACAGGCCAGAAAATGAATCTGGACACAAACTTTACAACCTTCACAAAATCAACTCAAATGGATATCATAGACCTAAATATAAAATGCAACACTACACACCTCCTAGAAGACAACATAGGAGAGACTCTAGGTAAACGTGGCTGCAGCACCAAAGGCTCAATCCATGAAAAAAAATGATAACTTGGATTTATTAAAATTTAAAATTTCTGCTTTGTAAACGACACTGTCAAGAGAATGAGAAGACAAGCCACAGTCTGGAGGAAGATGTTTGCTAAAGACATATCTGACAAAGGACTATTGTCCAAAATACGCAAAAAACCATTAAAACTCCAGCATAACAAAACGAACAACCCGATTACAAAATGGCCAAAAATCTGAACAAACACCTCGTCAAAGAAGATACATTTATGGAAAATAAGCCCGTGAAAAGCTGTTCCACATCGTATGTCATCAGGGAAACGCCACTTAGAACAACAGGCTACCACCGCACGCCCAGGAGAGCGGCCGAAATCCAGAGCACTGACGACACCAGTGCTGACGAGGACGGGGGGCAACGGGAACTCATTCGTTGCTGCCGGGAATGCAAAACGGTGTGGACGATAGAGCCACTTCGGAAGGCAGTTTGGCGGTTTCCTGTAAAACTAAACATACTGCCACCTCACCACCCAGCCATCGCTCCTTACCTCTGGAGGCTTTGTAGACTTCGTAGAAAGAGTAGAAGTGGAAGCCTAGTGACGCGAGCACGTAAAAAGACAGTTCCCACGGAGGCAGCATTGCTTCTCGTGACAAGTGGTCCCGATGCCCAGGGTGAGAGTCTCTGGACAGAGAAAGAGAAGTAAAAACATTAGGCCATGGACATGACACTAGAGAACAGCACACTGTCACCAGTCAGTTCCCTGGCTCTCCCAGGGACCCGTCACTATTCGAGGTGATACAGACACAACCCCACAACCCCGGTGAGACCTCCTCCTGCCAGTTACCTTACACACACACATGCACGTGCACACACACGCACACAACCTGCTGCTCCGGTGCACAGGTCTCTCCCTCTGAGCTCCTACAGCCCCATCCTCCCCCCATCACACTGTGCACCAGACAGCTCTGTCCTCACTGTCCGACACACCTGTCTGCCCCCAGCGAGTGGGCGGGCCTTCAGGGGCGGGGACCGTGGTCTCTGGGTCCCCAGCACCTAGCACAGGGTGTGTGATGTAGCGGAGAGAGACTACGGGTAGCTCCATGAATAAAAATGACTTCAAAAGCCTGAACTAAAGAAAAGTAAAACTCATCTCCAACCTCTTGCAAGTCATGAGCATTAGCCTCCTCGTTCTCTGTCAAACGTCACCCCGCAGTCGCTCACGACACTGCATTAATGAAACCGCTGCGTCCTCCGTGCTGTGTGCACCACCAGGGAAGCTCACGACACAACCCAGGCAGCGGCGGCAAACACTGCTAGCTGCCTGCCCTGCGGCGGTCACCCTCCCTTCTTACAAAGTAACGGAGCTTTTATCCGGCCACAAAGATGCTGAGCTCAACTCCGTATTGCAGCCAGGCGTGGACATTTGAACCGTTCCAGCCACGAGGCTGTGGTCATCTCCTTCCTGCTGGGTGGGACTGGAACAGCCACCCTGGACCAAGAGGCAAAGGCATGTGGGAAAACAAGGTAGGGACGCCTGAGTTCCTGACTCCACGTACCACCCCACCTCCAGAACCCCCCAGATCACTTAAAACTGGGCCATCATGTGAAAGAGAAATGCTATTCTAGAGCTCTCTGTTACCGCGGCCATGTGTACCTTCAAGTCAGAGGGCCGGTGATGGTCAATTAGGTCTAAAATTCTGCCAATTAAACAGTCAGTTCCCCAGCAACAAAGAGCCGGCCTTTTGCAGGCCTCCCTCTTCCCTCAAACCTCCCCCACATGTCTCACCGTGGATGCCAAGTTAACTCAAGGGCAAATCTGAAGCCCTGAGCGAGCACTTCTACTAAGTGTCAGTGATGCCAAACCAGAACTCACACATTATCTCGTTTTATTTTCACAACCGCCTAGTGAAGTATGTGGAGCAAGGGAGACAGGCATCGGACAGACGGCGAATGTGAAACAGGCGAGGCCACACAGTCAGAAGCAGCTGATCCAGAGCTCAGCTCCGGGTCCTGGGCCCACCAGGCCCCCACCCGTGCCCTGGGCCAGGGCCTTCCATGAGATTCTCGTCCTCAGAGCCTGGCCCAGAGTCTGCCGCACACAAACCCCTTTCCTCGGGCTGAAGGGAGGCAGGCCAGGCACGGCTGTCAGCTTGGGCTTTCGTCAAGTGTGAGCTCAGAAGTCGGGGGTCCTCCCACCGGAGCTCCGGAAGTCAGTTCAGGCTGGGTTTCCTCTGCACCCTGAGACCCAGCAGCAGACGCCCCGCCTCCAACCACGAGCGCTCCAGTTCCTCGCGCTTCGGCAGCCCCTTCGCAGGTCCGCGCGCGCTGTTTGCCAGAACCACTTTCAGCTCCATACGTTTCTAGTCATGTTATTTCAAATCCCCGGCCTCTCTTAGCATATCTTAAATTTTCTTTCTGGAACTTTATAGAAATATGGTAGCCTTCCTAAGCTAAGATCCCAGAGGGATATTAACTTAGCCTCTGGGTTTTACAATGTCTCACCTTTCAAAGAAGGCCACTATGATACTAGATGACATCCTCACTTCGTTAAGAATCTGTGATTAATAAAGGGCTGAGACTGCCACTGAAATGTGAACACAAATCATCTTGGAGACCATAGGGAAGTTCTAGAAACCATGTTCTTTAGACGCTTTTCAAGGACACTCTGTTCCAGACACTCCACTCCTCTGCATCAATGAGTGCACTGTCAGGGACCTAGAAAACCCAGGGAGACGACATTTCCCCGTTTGCCACAGCTCTTGGCTGTGTTTGCATGCTCCCTGCAGACCAGGTGGGGACTTCTGACCTCCAGAGCCGAGAGACAGTTTGCGCTGTTGTAGCCCACGACGTCTGTGGTCATGTGTTAGGAAGCCATAGGAAACTACGGGGCCATTCCTGCCTGGTGGGAGGAAAGCCCCTAACTGAAAGGATTTATATAAAACAGTAGACTATTTTAATCCCATTGTTATAAAGTCAAACTGCAAGAAAATTAAATCTGTAAACAAAATTTTGTATTCAGTCCTCACCTTAGCGTTTTATTTGTGGTTTTTACCTCACACCGATAGTAATCTTAACATCAAACACAACTCTAAGCCTTATTATATGAACTGCCCTTCCGCCAGGCGTCTGCTGTCAGAGACTGGCAATGAGGAATGAGTTTCACAAATCCCTGACTCAGAAAAGCTACCGACGCGATATTGTATTCTTTCCCCTGCAAATTCTCTACTTATTTTCAACCTTTTTTAATCACCAAGAGTGGTGCCCATCATATCCGACACTCCCCAGATTAGGGGCCTCTGAATGAACCAAATACTTTATAATATTTTAAGTAAAGTTTGTATTAAAATATACTTAAAGGAAAAAATGTAAGATTTTCCAACAGCAGACTCACTTCAGTCATTACCATTCCGATTAAAAGAAATGATGACAAGCCTCAGGAGCTCCTTCTGTCCGTGGCTTTAAGTCCTGACCACTAGCCCGGTATCTGCCACCCTCGTTTATTTAATTTTGCTCACTTTTTAACTTCACATAAATGGATCACATGGAACTTCCTCCACGGTGTCTGCCTTCCTTTCGTTTAGCTTTGTGTTTGAGGTTCAGCCACGTCGTGTGGGAGGCAATGATTTGTTCGCTGTCTTGACTATGGAGTATTCCGTTGTACAAACACCTTACTTCTCTACCCATTTGACCACTGATGAGCGTGTGGGTTGTGCCAACTTGGGGCCATTCTGAACAACGCTGCTCCGCATGGTCTTTGACGTGACTGAGTGCCCGTATATATATATGCCTCACTGTTGAGTGTTCACCTAAGAACGGAGTAGCTAGGTCACAGATGTGTATGTCCAGCTTCACAGCAAGTGCTGGCACAGACAACTTCCAACACAGTCACACGAAATTTCATGGCCATCAGCAATGAGCGTTCCAGTCTGCCCATAACCTAATCAGCACTCAGCATTGACAGTCTCTGTAATTTTAGCCACCCTGGTGAGTAGGTAGTGATATCCCACTGCAGTTTTAATGTGCATTTCTCCAATTGCTAATGAGGTTGACCACGTTTTCATATGTTTCTTAGGAATCTGGAGATCCTCTTTTATGAAGTGACTTGCCATTTCATGTAAAAGTTGTCTCTACATTCGGGGCATGAGTTCTTAATTGAATGTATCTATTACATTCAGTAGCTTGCCTTTCCTCTCTTTATAGAATCTTTAGATAAACAGAAGTTCTGACCCAAGCTTCCCTTGATAATTAATGCTTTTTGTGTCCCATTTAACAAATCTTTGACTATACCTCAGTCATAAAGATATTTTACTTTGCTCTCTTCCAGAAGCTTTATTGTTTTAGCTCTCACTTTTAGCTGTATGACCTATCTTTTTTTAATTGATTTTTTTAAAGGAAGAGAGATTTATTGTTCCATTTATTTATGCATTTATTGGTTAATTCTCTTGTTGCAATGTAGACAGTGGATTTTAATGTGACAGATTATGAAAAGTTCATAGATACAATTTCAAATTTCACATAGCAATTCATTGGTTGATTCTTATATGTGCCCTGGCCGGGATCAAACCTGCAACCTTGGTGCATCGGACGGCGCTCTAAGCAGCTGAGCTACCCATCCAGGGCTGTGTGGTGTATCCTGATTAATTTTGGTACATGGGATGAGGTACAGGATCAAGATTCATTTTGTCCATGTAGATATATCCAATTGGCCCAGCATTGTTTACTGGAGCAGGCTGTCCCTTCTTGCACTGCACTGCAGGTCACCTGTCATCTGTGTGAGCCTGTTTATGGACTCTCCACCAGCTCTATCGTCTGTCTAGCAGTGTGCCAATGCCGTCCTTACATACTACATACTGGTCTCGTAGCTTAAGTCATTCAACTTCGCTCTTTTCCTTAGATTGTCTGTAATTTCCACATACATTTTAAAATTAGCTCCTCGATGCCTATTTTTGAAAAACGATCTGCTGGGATTTTTATTGGGATTGAACGGAATCGATAGATGTATTTGTGGGGAATGACATACCCTCTATGGTTTTAAGTTTTTAAATCCTCTCAGTATTTTGGCTTGCAAGGAATTTTTATCATGAACGGGCGCTGAGTTTTATTAAATGACTTTTCTCCTTTATCCTGTGCATGTGGTTAAAGAACACTTATGGGTTTTCTCATGTTAGTTTACATTTCTGGAATACGTCCCACTTGGTCATGGTTTAGTGTCCTTTCTACAGATTGCTAGATTTTATTTAGCAATACATCATTTTCAGACTTTTGCATCTTTTTTGTGAGAGTTTGGCCTATTATTTTCTTGGAATGTCCTTATCAGGCTTCAGTAACAAGGTTACGCTGGCCTCATAAAAGCAGCCAGGGAACGTTCCTTTTTTATCTCTTTCATTTAATGTAATCTTCCACTAGCAGAGCCATCTGGGCCTGGAAAGTGTGCTACAGAAAGGTTTTTCACTACAAATTTAATTTCTTGAATAGACAGAACTATTCAGATTCCCTAGTTCTTATGTCTTAGATAAGGCATTTCATTCAAAAAGCTTGTCCATTTTATATGAATTTTCAAATGTATTACCATAAAATTATTCAGAATAACATCTTAAGATCTCTTTTCCAAGTGCCTGTGGGATGAGTATGGCAACTTTTTCTTCCCTGGCACTGGTACCACCATACGCCATTAAGGTTTATTTCCTTTCAGAAACAAAAACAAAAACGCCAGTCATGCACTGTATGGCACCCACCCACTATCACACGGATGGGTACTCTCCAGCAGAATTACCCACAGAAGGAGCAGGGCGTCCAGAGAATGTAAAGAATCCAGCAATTCCCTCTCAGCAGCTCTTACCACCATCAACAACTGTGAACTTGAGCTCAGACTGAAGGAGAAGGAATCAGCTATGCATAACGGTCTAGGGTGGCCAGCAAGGACTATGTAACCTAGGATACCCTTCAAGGTGTTCACAGGGAGAATTCAGGGGGCCATGCACTTAATTTTTTTCTCACACATTTTTATTTTCATGAACCTCTACCAGGGGTGTCCAGCCTTTTGGCATCTTTGGGCCACATTGGAAGAAGAAGAGTTGTCTTCGGCCACACATTAAATACACAAACACCAATGAAAACTGATGAGCTAGAAAAATGGTTTTAAGTAAATTTACAATTTTGTGTTGGGCTGCATTCACAGCCATCCTGGGCTGCATGTGGCCCATGGGCTGCAGCTTGGAGACCCCTGCCACTGAAATTCAGGACTTCATTTGGTTATAAGTATGGACAACAAGTGATACCAGTAAGAGCAATTCTGGTCACACTGCCACCAAGAAGAGTCACAGACATTTTCCTACCCCAGTGCAGCTGTTGCAATATCACAAAATATCATTTACATGGGCCTCACTACTCTGAAAGTAGGAGTTATTTCATACGGCACTGATTTCTGTTACTTAATGCATTAATTAAAAAACATAAAATACTCAATTATAAATTTGATTTCTTCACATGATTTTTGATAACTTTGTTTCAGTATCATTTTTAACCCTATGGACATTGTTAATGCCTTTTAAAAACTGGCTTCCCCATACTCCAAAGAGGTCAATGGCACCAAAAAAGGCAGAGAAACCCTACAAGGTATTAATGACTTCATCCAAGCCAGGGAATTCCATGCAACAGCTCGGGGCACATCCCTGTGGCCCTGTGCTGGAAGCAGGAGACACACGGGTGAGTGAGGCCCACCCTGGCAAGTTCCACATGTTAACCTGGAGAGTCCCCACCAACATCTAGCCACCCACAAAAATGACTGCTCTCATCAGAGACTTGGCCTTCACCCTAAGTTAGTCTATATAACTTTCTTCCCAAACAGGGAGCAAAGTAAACAGTAGATACAGCACAGGCTTTAATTCAAAAATTGGAGTCCTCCCAGCATTTACTAGTTTGTGCATTTGGCATCTCTAAGTGTTTATTCTTCTGTAAAAACGGACCACACTACCTATCCTTCCACTTTAGAAATAAATTCATTATTTCTAAATCTTCCAGGTACCAGAAGGTTCAGAAATAATGAATCTAAAGCATCTGATAAGCACGTCGTCCCTGTTAATACTAGTTGAATCTTTCAGGTCAGGACTGACTGTCCTTACCCAACATTTAATCACAGGTAGGGATGGCCACAGAGATAGGAGGGAGGAAAGGTGGAACATAAAGAAAGGAAGGGGGAAAATAGTATTTATTCTTCAAGTTCCAGTATAAAAAGCATCACCTGCTCCGTGAAGCCTTCCCTCTGGGTTCCTTGTGTTCCCACACCACTTATCACATAGAAGTAAACCCCTAGTTCTGCGAGTGAATGAATAATACAAAACAGAAAGTAAACATTGAGTCTCACCCTCTTCTAATGCAAGCCAGCGAGGGTGCCAACCCACTAGTCTGACTGCCCTGACCAAAGATCCATGAAGCAAGGAAACAGCGCGTTCCTTAAAACCAGTGCCACCCCAGTACCCCTCTCGCCCGCCTTGGTACGGCTTTGGTAGGGATTGCGGGGAGGAGGGCCTTTCCTCATAAAGGCCAATGCCATCTACCTAAAGGCGAGATTTAGAAGAAAAGAGGGATACTAAGAATAGAAGGCAAAAAAACATCTCTAACTTTGGAGGTCACTCGAGTCGCAGCAGTCGGGCTGAGGCACTTTTAATGCTGCGAAGGGGACCAGCTCCCGCAATTCCCCGCAAGGAGACGAAAAACGCGGGACGCAGCCAAGGGGAGGAGACACTGGCAGGGGCGTGCGTGGACGCTGACCAGCCGCGGCCTGGGCCCTGCACACGGTCACGGTCCCCGGTGCCTTTGTCTCCACTGCAGGACCAGACGCTTCCCCTGTCCCTTCCTCGGGAGCGCACGCAGGGGCCGGGATAGGAAACGGAAAGCGTCTTGTGCATTTTTTTTTTTCAACCAAAGCAACAACAACAAAAAAGTCACCTAAAACGTCCCCGGGACCCGCTGCGGTCACCAGCTACCCACCTCCGGGCTGTCCCGGGCGGCGGCGGCGTTCTCGCGCGCCCCGAGTTCCCAACACCCCTCTCCGCACTTCCGAGTCAGGCTGCAGCGGCGGGCCTGCCCGGGAAGCCGCCCTCTTTTCGGCGCGGCCGTTGGAGCAGCTGCTCCGCGCGTGCTCGGAGCGCGTCCCCGCGTCGTGCCCGCGCGCCTCCTGCTCCGGGTCTCCCGGATTGCCCTCCCGCGACGCTCCGGGATTGCTGCTAACCGGCCCGCGCTACCGGCTGGGATTCGCCAGAGGGCGGCCCACCGTCGTCCGTCGGGTCCCCAAAGCCTCGCTCGCACCGGAGCTCTGGGCTCCGGGTCCTGCGCGGAGCCGCGCGTGGACCTCTCCCCAACCAGTTTGTTAATTGCAGGCTGGGACTGCACTGCGGTTGGGAGTGGAAGTCACCTGAAACTCGAAGTGAACGCTAAATCTCACCCCAGTTGTCCCCACGTCCACGTACGTTTTGTAGGCAAAAGGAAGTAGCTTGGTGGAATGAAAACCAGCCCTGGGTGCTCCCCGAGCTGGCTGTGTGAATTTAGCCTCTGTGAGCCTCCCTGTCCTCAGTAGAGCAGAAATAAGCTCCCCTGCTTTCCTTGCGAATCAGAAAGAAGAGCGAACAAAATGCACTGGAACTGTAAACAACTTACAAAGATTATCCCCACCGCAAAATGTATACCAGTGATTTCGAATGGGCTGTATTAGAGTGGAGGTCTGAAGCTGCCTCGATGGGATGTAATTGGGAAAGTGACTTCATGCCAAGCGTTGTCAGAGGCCTCGGACACCACACCTGCCCAAGTTCCATAGATTTACAGGAGCAGGGAAATCGTCTGGCTTCTAGGTAAAACCACAGGCATCTGGATCTCTACTCAGACTCTCCAGAGGAAGGGTGTCTCAAGTGACCTGCCTAATTAGCAGGTCAATGTCAGAACTGCCGTAGGCAGTAGGAAAACACAGAGGCTGTGCTCTAAATTTAATCTAGCATTCATTGAAATAGTCCAGGAGACTCTTTTGGTGGTTGCAAATTTCTCTGGGAAACCAGACTATAAACTCTCTAAGAAATGGAACTTCATCTTCTCTTTTATTTCCTGGGTTTCCACCCCCAACACCTATTACAGGATGATACTCAGGAAGCAGATGTTAATAAACTAGCCCCAAGTAGGGATGCTAGATTTAGCAAATTAAAATACCAGATGTCCAAGTAAAATTGAATTTCAGATGAACAACGAATAGGCCTAACTATAGAATACATCAGAGAGCTGACTATATATACTACATTGTCAATGCATTCACCCACTGATGGACACTTGGCTTTCATCTACCTTGTGGCTTTATGAATAATGCCACCATGAAACTGGGTATACAAATATCTCTTTGAGACTCTGCTTCCAGTTCCTCAGGGTGTGTACAGAGAGGTAGAATTGCTAGAAGATCATATAGTAATTCAATTGTTTAACTTTTGAGGAACCACTATACCGTTTTCCACAGCAGCTGCACCATTTTAAATTCCCATCAGCAGTGCACAAGGATTCCATTTTGCCCACCTCCTTACCTAGCTTGTTATTTTAAGTTTTATTTATCTTTTGATGGCAGCTATCCTAATAGGTGTGAGTTGATATCGGATTGTGGTTTTGATTTGCATTTGTCTAACAATTAGTGATGTTGACCATCTTTTCATGTGCTTATTGACCATTTTCATGTCTTCTTTGGAGAAATGTCTATTCAAATCCTTTGCCCATTCTTAAATCTGCTTGTTTGTCTTTTAGCTGTTGAGTTATAGGAGCTCTTTATGTATTCTGGATATTAACCCCTTATCAGATATATGGTTCAAAAATATTTTCCCCTTGCTTGATTGCCCTTTCACCCTTTTCATTTTGATATCCTTTGATGCACAGTTTTTTATTTTGATGAAGTCTAATTAATCTGTTTTTCCTCTTTTTCACTTTCATTGTGGTGTCATATCCAAGAAATCATTGCCAACTCCAAATGTCATGGAGATTTTCCCCTATACTTACCTCTAAGAGCTTTATAGTTTTAGGTGTTTGATGCATTTTGAGTTGATTTTATATATGGTGTAAGGCAAGGGTCCAAATTCTTTATTTTTGCATGTGGATACCCAGTTTTTCCAAAACCATTTGTTGAAAAGTACAGACATTTTAAAAGGCCAGGATTTGGAGTAGAACTAATTAATGGTGGGAGACTCAGTCACTCTTGGAAGTGAGCGATACAGTATTTGGGGGAAACCAATGTCAGAGTCTAAGCGCCAGAAGATAAGTTGGAGGTTTCTCCTGGTGGGATGGAAAGAAGCGGGGAGGATTCCCCTTGCCCCGCTCCTGTGCTTCAGGCACAGGCAGGAATGTCTGGCCTTCAAAGATCTGTGCCTGTCTCAGCACAGAACTGTCAGTCTCTGGGACTCCCTGACTCGGACCCAGGGCGCAGCCCCAGAGCCACAGGTAGCCAGAGCTGCCTTGCCTCGGAAGGCTTCTGTTCTGACCCTCTAAGTAAAACCAGAGAGAATCCTCTGCGGAGTGGAGGAGCAAACCAAGGCTAGAGTAAATTGAGCAAAAGTGATGATCACTGAGGTTTAAGAAAGTGTCTTGGTTTTGAATTTCTTTAAAAGCAAAAAATGAAAATTAGTATGTGAACATGGGTACTTAATGGTCAGTTACTATTTATACCAGTATGTTAATTCTAAGTCATTAATCAGGCACTTGCCCTGGGCATGTTTTTCTCTCTGGCCCTCTCTGTTCGCGCGGCCTGAGTATCCCGGCGGGGCCTCCTGTCCAGACGGGCAGCCCGGAGCGCATGGCGGCCGCTCTCCAGACAGCAGGATTGGTGCTTAAGAGGGATTAACTAGGCCACCTCTTTTTTGTGAATTCAACCATGACTCAGTCATAGAAATTATACTCATGCAACTGAGGTACTAATGGTTGTTATAACTTAATTAATAAAGACTGAAAGACAAATAAGTGGATTTCTAATTATGAAATTTCAGGCACAGGCAGTAATGGGGGGCTATTTGGAATGATTCAAGGCCTTCCCAACCCCCACCACCTGCCACAGCCTCTCATCTGCTCCACCTATGAGGATGTAGGCCCTGGTCTATGGTGAGTCACAACAGTCAACATTGAACTAACACGTGACCAATATCCACTTTATGCGCAACTTAGAACTGAACCCTGGGAGAGATTTTTTTTAAGTGAAAAAAAGTTCTTTCTTGCAGAAAGTTGCACTCTAGCTGGAGATTCTCCAAATATACACAAAACAATTAGCAAATCACACACACATTTCCAATATAGTTCAAACTACCCATAAACACTAAAGAACAAATTCATGCCAATACCTAATTAGAAAATAAAGCTAATGGCTCACGACCAGACTTAACTTTTTAAACAAAAAGTAAAGCAGGGGATACTAGAGAATAGAACACAACACGATACAATACAGTAGAAAATATGAGAACACATCACCGGATTTTTAGTAAGAATTGTGAAAGTTGTCAGAAATACTGCATCCAATTGCTATAGAGAGAACAGAGAGCTAATGGAAGGCTATGACAAATATCAGTTGACTAATACAAGTTATTCTATCTTCTGCTAACAAACACCTCATTTGATTTTCTGATGTATGGTGTGAATATGACATCTCCATGACAGGACCATTAACAGAGTCTACAGTTTATATAAACATTATTTAGTTTCACTGTAATGCCTTTTTCTACAACGACCTTATCAAGTGGATGTGTTTCAGGTTTGCATCAGATATGCATTTAATCACATTAGCATGAATTACTTTTTAATGAGGTTCCTCCTTACTGTTAGAAAAGAGTGATGAAATAAAAATTAGAGGAATGCCCAAGTTCAAGCTCCAGATATTTAGAACCGGAAATAGAGACGATGCTGAGAAAAATACTTACCCTAAGAGTAAGCTTCAACTTCATTTAGAATGATAAGCATTCTAAAAAGAGAGAGAGACTGCCAGACTTCATAAAGCAGATTATCTAAAATATATTTTCTGTGCGTAAAATCCAACCAGAGTGACAAACTCCGCTATATTATTGGTAATGACACCTTCAAAACTAATAGAACTCTTAGAAACACAGCATGTTAGACTTGTCGACAAGCTCCTCGAACATATTTAAATGAAAACAGACAAAAAGTTATTGGCACAATCTCTTAGCTGCTCTACAGCATGTTAATGAGATTTAGTTCCATACAGTCCTGCAAAAGAGAACGTGGCTCACACGGATGTTGAAAAATGACTCTTCAAACATGAAAAGATATCGTGCCTGCAAATGTTAAATCTAAATCAGCTGATACATTCAAACTTACAACTAGCTGTGGTCACATGGGCACAACTGCAGAGCCTGCCGATGCCATGATTCTCATGTGCTGGAAGTCCAGCAGACAGCTTGAGGTCCATCCCCACAGAGCACGGATGCTGGAAGTTACTTGACAATTCTCGTTCATCCAGGGTGACGGTGGGGGTGACGGTGGGGGTGACGGTGGGGGTGATGGTGGGGGTGGGATGCTTGGGGTGTGAGCACTTAACTTTGCATGCACTTGATCGGATACATTGACAAAACTGGAAAGCTGCCTCGTTGGTGAATATCTATTAAACTAGAAACATAATAAAGGAATTATGAGTACTGGAGCCTGCTGGTATGGCTAGAAAACACAGCAAAGCTATTAAAATATTGTTAAAATCTATTAACACTTGTGCTTAGAAATCAGCCTCAGTAGAAGTTCTACTTGGCATCTCTAGAAGTAATTCTGCTGTATCTCATGGAAGTGTTAAAAAAAAAGAGAGAACATGGCAAAGGTCGTCACAGTTATCGAAGAGAGCTCATCGAATAGCCACAATATCGATGTGTTTTGTTCAGGCTGGAACTAACCAGACGCTCCTGCCAAAGGTACTAGAGTTCATGGATTGTCCTGAGGGCACCTAAGGAGAACTTTCGAGCAGGGTGAATGAACTCAGAAATGACAGCCACATTTTTTCTAACAATCTCACTTGTCAAGCAATCTCATTTTCAAAGATGATGTTTGTGGTTTAAAATTAGTCTACTTGAGAATTTTCCTATGTTTCATTCTAGTATTAATAAGATGAATGAATAATAAAAAATAAA